CTCAACACATCAGACAGTGTTTTATAATTAATCAGAGTTAAATGGTGTATAAATTTTATGGCAATGCAAGTCTTATTTTAATGGTAAATTCTATTCTATTTTCTCTAACTTTTGGAGGGAGATGAAAGGGTCAAGATCAACCTGACACAATAATGGAAAGAAAGTTCATAGATGTTGATTATTTATAATGATTTATGAGGATGATTCTAGCTATAACAATTTGGTCTTCTGAGAAAATGTTGATTTTCAATATGAACAAAACTTGAGCAACAGGACTGGGATTCTGAGAAATTTGAGAAAGTAAAGCAAGAAATGGAAAGAATTTTTGATGTATTTATTTTAATTATAAGATGCTGCAGGCAAGAAGAATAAAATCTCAGAAGAGAAAGTTGAAACTTTAAAAATGGCACACCCACCCTCTGAAGCTATTTGCAAAAAAATTCCTCATGTATTTTCCTTTTTTTTTTTTTTTTTTTTTTTTTTTTAAGGATGGGTCTCGCAGTGCAGTTCAGGCCAGCCGTGAGGTTCACTTTGTAACCCAGGCTGGTCTCAAAGTCACAGTGATCCTCCTGCCTCAGCCTCCTGAGTGCTGGGATTACATAGGTGCGCCACCACACCTGGCTTTGTTTTATCTTTGTGAGAATACCCAGTTCAGAGCTTGTAGCTGGGAATCAGAAAGACACATTATGAAATGACATAAAAAGTTGAATGTCACCCCTATTCATTCACTGGTACCATTTCTATGGGAAACTCAGTCACATTGCTGAGATTTTCCTAAACACACATCAGTATTTCCTTCAAACAAATTTCCTGTCCTGGAGTCTGGGTCATTCAGATTAACATTATAACTCCATTCATCCCTGACCTACAACTTTCATGTTTATTAAGCCTGATCACACCATTCGCCCCAAATAAAAAATGATGTTGTGAGAACTGATTTGGGGAACAATACTGGCCACCACGGTAGTAGCCTGGCATGAGTCATCAAAGTTGTACCCCACCTGAGAAGCACCGTGGGTGGGATTTCCCATAGTACTCTGAGGGGTCCTGAAAAAATGAGAGAAAGGGCAAAGAGCACAAGAAAAATAAATATATTGTGTGAATTCTTCATCTCTTTTCCATATGATACTTTGCCTATATTCACATTAAATGTGCTACTCATGTAGAGAAAAAAATTAATACGACATGGATGAAAAAATAAGTAACACGACTAACTGTTTTAAAAGTCAGTCCTTGGAGGCCTGAGATAGAATTGGACTCCTAATCTATCAGTGTGGGATATGCTGGCTATGCTACTGGAGTTAGGATTCTTTTTGCATGTTTGTAAGCGTTCGTCTCCACTTGCATCACAAGTATAAAAGCACCTACTTTATACACTTGTGATGCTTATGGGAGAGAACACATGGATGCTGCTAAAACTGTAAATGGTTTATGCTTTCACGTTCGCTAAAGATTTTGCCATCATTGTGGATTTCTACCTGTCTCTTTTGACTGACAGGAAGCCAGTGGAGCCTCTCTTAAAAATTCATGCAATATTTTTAATGTGCTTAATGGGTGTCACGACTATTCTTTCTACTGACAACTTTGAAAAAAAAAAGAAATTAGCTTTGATATCAAAACTGGAAAGGGGACAAGGTGAATTTTCGCAGTAACAGAAACAGTGATAACTGTTCTATTTTAAAAAATACTTATATGAAAATAGTTGCGTTCTAGCAACTTTCTTCCATTTCTTTAAATGATCACAATAAAAAAGCCATCTTCTCTTATATGTGTTAGTGGATGAACCTGGTGGTCAGAAAGTAAAAACACTCTCAATATCCATTAGAACCCCTGGCATAAGATTAGAAAATAAAAAGCCAGAACCTTCTTGGTGGGGATGTGAATAAACCTGTACATTTTACTCATTGGTTAGAACTCGTGGAAATGATATCTGTCATCCCGTGGTAACAGCCGCTACAGCCACCAACACAAGATGTCTAAGTGTCATCCTGCAGCCTATCGGCAATACAATGCATATTCTTGTAGATGCCGAATTATGAATGTTAAAGTGCTTCTGATCAAATGTAGGACACTTAAACAGCTGCCTGGAACTAGAAATCTAATTTAGTCTGTTTCACTAGAACTTGCGCACAGTACAAATCAAAACTGAAACTTGCATTTTAAGATTTGTACTGCTTCTCCTTCTAGTAAAAAGAATAATAATGACAGATTTATTATTTTAAAAATATTTCTGTTGTTGGATATAAAATCCAGTGGTGCGCTATAATTTCTAATTGTTTCCTTTATATACTCAGCCTGTGCAGTCTTCCTCTAATAGTTACAGAACTCCTAAGAAAAGCCTCCTCTAGCAGTCAGGCTCTCAGGATTCAATTCCCGTTATAAGTATACTGTACTCAATTTTTTTTTTAACCTGCAAACTATGTAAGTAGTAATCATTTTATGCAACTTTATGTTTGTAAATACATATTTATTTTGGGCTGCATCTACTGATTTACATGTAATTGGAAGAAAATATAAAGATTAAAAGTATAGAATGTTGAAGTAGATTGATAGTTAAATATAATAAATAAATAAAACATCTGAAACTGGTACATCCTCCAAGTCTTTCAGAGCATTATAAACACAGCCATTTGTGCTTGCTTCAGGCTAAAACATGGCACTCAAAGTGACAGCGGAGATGCAAATTGTTTTCCCAAAGAGCTGCTTGTATTGGTTAAGCTGCTTCTTACTTGTAAAGCTGTGGGGGATAAAGAGGGGAAAGAAAAACACTTTTCTTAATGATTTTCTTAATCTATTCTGGGAAATAAGTATGTCTTATAACTTATTGCTGAAATGAAGAATCCTAATGATTCTCAGTCCACCGTTTTACATTGAACAAGCATTTCAATTAGTTGCAAAATAATCACTTTTAGAACTTTCATATTTACTGTTAATGGTTATGTTCCTTTCACTCTAGCAGGGAAATTCTCCCAAGGGTTATGGACGTAAAAATGCCAACCCAAACCATATCAGGGCAATTGTTTAACCATAAGTAAACTAGTAGCTTATATCATTTTTTTATAGGCAAGAAACTCCAGAATCCTTTCTATAGAAGGTCCTTAGTGCGTGGTACTTATATAACAGAATCCTTTCTACAATAATTTCAGTTTTACTAAAATGTTTCATAAAGAATAATAGGTATGGGGCTGGGGATTTAGCTCAGCAGCACAGCACCTGCCTGGCAAGTGCAAGGTCATGAGTTTGATTCCCTTTACCAGAAAAAAAAAAAAAGAATAATAGGTGATTGATAAACCCATGTTTGCCTCAGATGCTATTTCCACCTAGAAGCATTATTCTATAAGTTAGCAAGGGTGTGGAATAATTTTTAATATTCCAGAGACAGTTGCTGATTAAAGTTTATTTCCTCAAATGCAATGCATTTTCAAATGTAGTTAAAACTTATTTAACCAGCGTGTTGAAAGATTTTTTTACCTAAACCATTTAAACTTCATATTGATGATCTTCTTAAATTCTGTCTAAATCATTGTGTCCAAATCAGAAAGATTATTTTGATGCAAACAAATGTCCTTTACATCAAAATTCTACATCATACTTTTTCTACAGGTGGAGAGTCGCAAAGATGCAAGAGTTTGGGAAAAGTATACACAAGCCAAGGGAAAGAGTACTGAAATTTAGATTTTTTAAATTTGAAACCCGTATTGGAAGTTTGCTACATGTTTTCATTTTGTTTTTCTTCTAAAGCAAAACTACAGAAAAACAATTCAATTCACTGAGTGTTAGCTGCATTTGTAAAGATATAAAAGGAGTATTTCACAAACAGGTTAGAAACCAAGGTAGCAATGAGGAGCATATTTTTATCTCATTTTGAATTTTGGACTACAAAAGGACACCCGGAATGTATGACCAAAGTCATAGTCCACTAATCAAACGGTCTCAAAGAAAAAATTGGTTTTCCTCTTCTTACGCTCTTGATGCTGAGAGCCAGCTAACTCTTAAGTGATCATGTTGATAAATAAATTCCAGAATAACAAGATTTATCTATGGCAGCTATGTCTAGCAGTTGGAGCTCATGAAACTCTTACTGCTTGTTCTACAGGAGAGAATTTGTTCTAACATTGCCAGGGCAAACTCAATACATTGATATAAATGGCTGCCTAGATACACTGGAGAACTGTGGGAGATGAACATTCAACAGAAAGACAGGGGTTTTCTTTGCAGTTTAATCGAGCCAGCAATGAAGTTTTCCCTCTAGAATCTAGTGGGTTTGTGTTCCCTGTAGTATTTCTGGGCATTTCTATTATTTTTCTATATGAAAGCGAACTTGTCTCAAGCAGTATGAGGGAAAGATGATCTGATTTTCTTAATTTCTTTTTCTGGTTAAGCTCTGAGGCTCTTAACATTCTAATTCTGAATTCATGGCCTTGAAACTTGGGGACCTTCCCTAGTTTCTCATGTTTGTTTTCTAGGGATTGTATCCAGCAAATAATTTTTAAAGAGAAAATTTAGTGCCCATAAGCATTACCATAGATAAATTGGTCTCTTCTAGTTTAAGTAAACCGAGCACTGAGGTACTACTGGCCTCACAATTTCTTCAGTTGTGTTGAGTCTCCACAGTTGTATCAGGGAAATTAAGTCTTAGTCCTCAAATACCTTGACTTTCTTTTTTAAAAAAAATTACGCTCACTTCAATCTTCCTGCTACATAAAGGCTGTACAGGGAAAAAAATTCAAGTAGTTCTAACTAATTTAGGAGACCTCAATTATTTCCTTACGTTCCTTGATTTTTGGGGGGTAGGTATTCGTGAATCGCTAGAATGGCAGCAAACCAAAACTATGTGGTGCTGTATGCCACAATTATTTCTCAAGGGGGCTGGGGATTTAGCTCAGTGGCACAGCACTTGCCTGGCAAAAGCAAGGTTGTGAGTTTGATTCTAGGTACCGGAAAATAAAACAAAAAACCAAACAAACAAAAAATTATTTCTCAGGCTTGAGGATGAAACTCTTAACTTTTAACTAATAGCAATTTGGATAATTTTTTTACAAGTTTAAAGACATGAGGTGTAAAGCCATGACTTGTGTTCCCGCACATTTTTCTTGTCAGAACCATTTAAATCACCATCTTACACAAGTACATATTGAAACTCAACTTTAAGTGTTTTATTTTTATGTACATTTTGTTTCTCCAGAAATAAAATATCTAAATACAGACAGTGTAATGTTGTATATGTATAGTTTTCAACAATACTTGAGCTGGATAAATGCTTTGTACATTGTCTTTTTAATGGAGTTCACAGCTACAATGATAAGATGGGTTCCTCATATCCTTTTTTTTTCTTTATAACCAATAACAAGCAGAGAGACGAGTACAATTTAATATTAATAAGCAGCTCAAATAACACTTGGTTAAACTATGTACAATACAAACCATTCATACAAATGAAGACTAGGATATTGAGTTTGTTACAATATGTGTAGTAAAGATAAGACAGACACTTATAACTTACACGGTGTCTGCCAGGCATTTCCCTTCTTAGATAATGATCAGAACTTGTTTTAAGCAGCCTTAGCTGGTCTCAACTTCGCAAATGTCCAATGATCGGCCACGAGAGCTATAATTCCGGTGTCTGCCCACATGTAAATTCCAAATATTTGCTCATCTTTACTGAGAACAGGCTCCCTCCACTGAGAAGAAGAGCCATCTTGTACAACCTTGAATGTGCCTACCGTATGCTGGGGAAAAGTTACTATACTTTGCTGTGTTCATAAAATAAAGAAGACTGAGCTCTAAAAACACATTTTTTTTTTCCATTTTAACAAGCATATACTCCTACAGTAGTATTTACCAGTACAGCTACTCCAAGCAGTAAGAATGCATAAGTGGGGATTATTGATTAGCATGGACTCAGGACTTTAAAAGAGATTTCCGTAACAGCAAGTGTTAGAAACATTCTCTGTTTAGTTAATCCTTTTGTTTGATCACAGTTTATCCTAAACTGTTATGAGTCAAACAATGAAAGCCCTCTCAACAGGAACCATGACAGATGCAAGCTGAAATGTGCATGAGTTTATGTTTGTGTAGCTCTATCTGTGAGGACGTGTCTTCAAGTGTGACTGAAATCTGTGGTGAATTACAACTATACTGAGAGATGAAGCTGACTGGGCAGAAGTTACATCAGATTTTTTTTTTTCCACTAGCGTATTTGCAGCTGGTTGACAAGAGCGGCAATGTAGACACATTCCAGGCAACAGATGTGACCTTCTTCTTTGAGGTAACAGCCCTGTAGTATGACCTTTAATTCCTCAGGCTTCAGTCTCACCCCTGTTCATCCTCATCCCGAGGGGAAGTAAGGTGTGTCACTGTGGTAGTTATAGTCGGGGCACACTTTCTGTACTAGTTTATAATCTGTACTATAAAAGGAAATGTAAATGCAGATCACCTTAAAGGGCTTGGAGCACAGCCAGGACACGTGACTTTGGGTTTGCTCCTGGTAGCAGGTTTTTGAAGGGTCATAGTTGCAGAGTGTGTTCTTGGTGGCCTTGTCAACCTTTTCGTATTCGATGCGACAGTTAAAGGACTTGGAATCTTTGGCATCTATCACGGTTTGCTGTGCCAAGTCGAATTCCACAATTTTTGTAGGGGGCACCAAGCTGACCGAGACGTTCCCTTGACCAGTGGAATTATGCCTGAAATAAACACTAAATGTCCCATTGCCGTGATCTACAATTTTCCCGGTTATCAACAGGTTCAGCTTCACTGTTTTGATGTTGGAGTGAAAATCACCCCATCCAAACATTTTCTTGAACTTGCCCGTCTTAACAATGGGCCTCCTCTTGGCCCTGGGCCGAGGCTCTTGAAGGTCTGTGGAGTTCCTCAGCCAGTCCCAGAGGTCTTGCTCCGAATAAGGTTCTGGGGTATCATATCGCAGGTCCAAATCTGTGTCATTTTCTTTCCCACGAAAAGTCTGTGACAGGAGTCGGCTGATAGATAAGTCTTTGCTGCTTTCTGTCCATATATGCTTTAGTGTGGATTTGCTGCTTCCTGACTTCAGAAGCTCTGACTTGCCACCATTTGTTAAATTGGCACATGTGACCTGAAAATAGAACAGAAAATTTGCATTTATATCTCTGCATCTGAGAACAAGCAACACTCACGTCTAAGCCTTTCCTCAGAGGCTCAAAATTAAATGATGACAGTTTATTTTTTTCAAAGCACTTTCAGCATCTGGCTAATATTTATTAACTTGTAATAAAATACCACTTCCATTTTTATATAACAGTGGAAGAAGGGAGGTGTGGGTGGATAAAAATCACTAAACATGACCTAACAAGCTATATAAAAACACTGAGTAATGAAAGGAAAAGGCCATCCAGAATGACTATACCAAAGTGAATTCATCCTTAAACTAATTATTCTTAGCACCAAAATCCAAAATCCTTTGAAATAAAATTTCTTTATACTTTTTTCCTGCTTCAGAATTACCATATGGTTTAAAACTGTGTGATTCTCCAAAATATGTCACCTAACACTCTTCAGACTTTTTGTTATGGACACCACGGTCATTTTAGAACACCAGTTTTGCAAAAAAAATTTCAGTATATTCTAACTGGGTAAAACAAAACAGTATGTTTATTGTCAGCAAACATAAGCAGAAGACATGGTGCGGAAAACATAACTTTTCATCTCACAGGGTTTAAAACACGGTCTAGTAAAAGGCCATCCATTGAGATATCCAGTGTCAATCTACAAAGGCAAACAGCACATGATCAGAGAGTCACTTCAGGTTAGACTGTGAGAGTAACATTCAGAAACTCTTCTCCTTAGATCTGTCTTGCCTCTTTGAGAAAAATTAGTTCAACAACTGAACCAGGGATTCAGAAGAACCAGTATCCTTATAACCTCAACCACTGGGAGGATAAAAAAAGGACATGAATATAGCCAAAGACCTGAAGAAACCGAAAGATCTGAAAGAGCTAAATCAGGCAAACCATATAAGCTGTGGACTGAATGACTTACAGTGAAGCTACTGAAGGGGGTCCCCAGATGCCCATTAAAAAACCAAGTTTCATAATAAACCTCTATTGTCCGGCACCCTTGAGAAGCACTCCTAGGAATTCTCTGAGTCCTGCCTTAGACATGAGTCTGATTGGAGTCTGTAGTTTGCTTCCAAACTGTTCTCAAAATTAAAGGTCACTTGCAGAGAACTTTTAAAATCAGACCTATTAGGAATTATAGCTGCATTCTCCAGAACCCTCTATAGATTCAGCCCTGCAGTCTCTTTGTTATGCTACAAACCTGCCTAGAAGATCCTTTTATCAGCCATTTGTCCTGGGAGAGTTCCATGACAATCCCCAGGGAGCAAGACCATGGCCATTAAAGATAGACTCCATGGGATTCTCTCCCAGTTCTGACACTTTCAAACCGTGAGTCCTTGATCAGATTTATACCCTTCTCCTTCCTGAGATCCTTGCATCTGTAAAATGCAGGTAATAATGGTATCTACCTCAGATGATTGCCCTGAGGGTTCCTTGAGCTATGACACCAAATCTTTAGAATAGTGGATAAGCCATGGGGAGAATTCAATAAATCTGATGTTGGAAAGTAGAGAAAGAAGACAATCAAAAGTACATATGGAAGTCTGGCCTAACAGTAGATTTTCTGTAGATGATGTCTCAAGTGCTTAGAACTTGAATGGAAGGTGTTCCCTCAGCAGATAGATTCAGAGGATCTTCATAATCTAAACTGGAACAGTCTTTTAGATTTTCTCATTTTGCCTATTCACAAATGCCTTGAGATCAGTGAAATTTTCACTATAAGCCAGCAAATAGTTCTTCCTTGCCCAGGTAAAATTGAGATGATAATATGAGTGGTGTGGGGCTATCCCATCTGTGAAAGAATACCTGTCAGAGCTGACATATTTCCAGTGATACTAAACTTAAGAAATTCTGCAAGTACATCACCATGTAAATTCATTGTGTCTGAGATAAACTGAAGTTTCTTCATGGCTTTACATCCCATCCTGTCACCCTAGAAAGCCAAGACTGAAACAATATGTAGATTAACCCTAAAGCTCTATCAGCTATTTCAAGGTGGTAATCTGTGTCCTGTGACAACTTCTGTAATTCTCTCAAACCATAGTGACAACCTCATGGAATGATGCTGTGGGCTCTTTTGTACAGAGTTTTGCATAGGAGACATAAACCCTAACCATTGGAGAATTCCACCATAAAAACAGCATCAGGCCCGGAAACAATGGACAGGTTGTGGGGGTTGGGGTCAGACATGACAGAAGCACAGGCCAGTCTCATAGTCAAGCATACAGTCATTCATTTTGTAAATATATCACCTGCCCTCCAAAATGGCCAACATCTTGGTGTCAAGTCAAAGATAGTTATGAGGTGGGTTAGCTCAGATGTTGGGGAAGGTATCGGGACTTGAAAGTGGGTTGTCTTTGCTGCCAGCTTTGCTTTTCAGTTCTGTTACTTCTTCATGTCTGCCCAACCTTTGCACTGGTATCATGCCTTTCCCCACTACTCAAACCATCTCCTATTCCCAGGTTCTCAATGTGCGAAACATTATTCCAGAAATGGATCACACTTAAACAGTACACACAACTAATAAGAGCAAAATGGTTGTTTTTGCAGAGGTAATTTTTAAACAAGCACTAGCTATGATGCCCTAAAAGGGTAAAATCCTTTGAAAGAGTGGGAGTATGCTCAGGAATGTAAAAGGGAAAAGTAGGGCATTTCCCACCCATTCTCATTGAAAATAAAGCCAGTCCAGGATAATTTTTTGTATCGTATTAGAAATAGTATCCATAGACATTCCATAAGCAATAATGTTCCATTATGATTAGAAAACTAACAAAAACTAAAGTTCTCCTTATTCCCTGAATGATGTGTATTTCAAAATATATTTCTTTTCTATAACAAAGTACCTATACTTTAAAATTTAAAACTAATATTAATTGGCATGAGTAGTATAAATCTGTTGGTCAAAGGGCTTGTGTGTGTGTATATATATATATACATATATACATACATAATTGTTTTGTTTCAGTAAAATCTAATTGATTATTTAAACATCCAATTCTATATGTGCCTAGTTATATAAGTATTATCCTTATCAAAATCCTTATATTTATGCTTTAGTTTAGTAAACAAGAAATAAATGCATTTCCTGATCCTAATTTTTACTTAGAATTGGATAGCATCTTCTTTAAGAATCACGAAGAATGAATTCAAGCATGGATTTAGTAGTTTAGTGGTCTGATACTTGTATTTCAACATCAACACAAGGCAGTAATGAGATGCTTACATGAGACACTGGTTAACAAAGTGGAAAAGGAATCACCCACCCCAAAGAAGGAGGGGGAAAATACCAAGAGCACAAGGGATCAGCAGTGTATTAGAGGTGAAAGAAAAAAATGTAGATGTACGAGATATAATTTCAAGGAGGAAGGATCAATCTAGTCAAAAGATTTGGTGGCTAAGACTCTGCCACCAAATAAATCTTTGATTTTCAGGTGGAATATAAATTTTTTAGTTCTAACTTATATGTTCCATAGATGTCATGATTACAAATATTGGCACTGTTGTTGGTCTGCCTGACCAAGCCCAGACCAGATGCTGACCCTTAAGATCTGCATAATGAGCTCAAGTACTAACTTGTTTATGGTTCTGTTTTATTCTGTTTTACAGGCTAAGAGAATAATTCCTGCCCCTCTCACGGGGCTGTTGGGAGGACTAAGAATGATACTCCATTACTCACTCAGTATAAAACTTGGAGCATGGTGAATGTTCAACCTTATTATTACTAGCCGTTATCATCCCCAGACATTTTTACCACTAAGTACCACTGGGTAATACTTTATGTAAATGATTATCTTGTCACAGAATTTCAGAACAGAGGGCACTTTTGTGAGAAAAGCTCCCTTTACTATAAACATAAAATTAAAAATTTGAAAAAGATCCTATCAGGAGCTGAGGAGAGGGAAATGAGGAGTAAACATGCAACTGGGCTGATATTTCAGTTGAACAAGGTGAAATAAATTTAAGAGCTCCGTTCTTCAGCATTGTACCTATAGCCAGCGCTATACTGTACACTGAAATTTGTCAAGAGGGTAGAACAATGGGAAGTGTTTTCATCAAAATAAAACACGTTTCTAAAATTTTATTTTAGTGAAACTATGAATATATATTGAACTTGAAGAAAATATACGCTGAAATATTTTTAAAAGAAAAAGAAGGGAACCATATATCTTTTAAAGTGCTGTTGTGTGTGGTCACCCAAAAATTACGGGTGGTCGAAAGATAGTAAATCTCTGGTTAATGACAGATTGGCATAAGTTCAGTTATTAAGCAGTTCAGCAACAAAATGCAATAAATACACTGGCTTTCAATAGTGCCTTGTGCAAAGCCTTGGGTGGTGCTCTCAGTGAAGAAACTTTTTAATGCCTCAGTTTACTCACAGAATCAAAGTGGGTTTTAGTTGTAACTGCTAACAGTATCTTGAATATTTATTGACTCTTGACTTCTGTCTGACTTACATTAGGAGACGAGTCGGACAATGTTTGAAAAATAGTATTGATCTTGAAAACCCACGAAGAGTTGTTTAGCAAAGACCCAAACATGTTCAATATTATGAACCCCAATGATTTTGTTTTATTAATTCAATAACTATATAGTAATACTCTGTACATACTATGATAAGTAGAGAACTACAGGTGTAAATGACATATGATTCTTGCTCTTGACAAGCCGCACTAATAGGGGTAATCTAGTAAGCAAATCACAATGTGATGCCACCAGCATCTGTGTGATATCATAGGAGTGATCGTCAAAGTGGAAAGGTAGAGAAGGTATTCCAGAAGAGATGGTCCTTACCTTTTGGAGATAAAAGATAACGTAAAGAACCTACATAGTCAAAAGCACAATTGAAAAAGAATATGTCAATAATACGAATGGAAAATAATGCTTTTCTGTCTGAATAAAATTAGATATCCCCCCCATTTGTTTCACTACCCAGTTTCTGGTGAGCCGCATTTCACTCCCTTTACTTATGAATTTGACTTTTTTATTCCCTACAAAGAAT